TCGTTAATCAATTGGAAAACCAAATTCGACTTCAAGTTACAAACCTTTGTGTTCCTCTTCGCTCAGTCTGTCCTCGAAAAAGAAAATAAGAGGAAGCCATGGCTGTAATCAACCAGGTAACAGCTGAGGAACTCGAATTACGACTTTACTCTTCTTTCCATGGTCCAAGTTTAGATGGTACTGGAGCCATTGAACCGGCTTAGCTCGTTAGGTTTCAAGTCCCTGAATGTTACGTTTATGTGTAATTTGTGAGGATACTTATGATTTTTTCGATAAGATACAGTTGATTGTTTGCTTTATACTTGATGAGGTTCTTATTTTGGAACAATTATTTCCCAAAATGGACTCCAATTGTGACTTTTGAGGGAGTATTAAAATTAGGTTATGCAAAATTGATGTATAATTTTTTGATATAGATGATTAGAAGCGGTATTTGTTTGCCAAATTGCTAAATTGCTTTGAGATGGAACAATGTATACAAAGGTCTATTGATGATGATACCTGTTAGTTCGTGATTGTTCTATTAATCTATTAAGATGTAATTGGGGATTTAAAATACAGTTGTAAATTTTTCTTATCATGTTAAAGCTTAATTGATTTATTGACTTATATTGTAAGTGTATAATTGTGTTCACATATAGTTAGGTGTAGGATGTAGCATTATGTCACCTTATATATTTACAGTATTCAAGATGTTATTTGATGAATCAATGTTATTTGTAAGCATCTTAAATTTTAAAGAACCTAACTTTAAAATTACTTTGTGGATACATACATATTATTTCAGTTGCCATTTTTTAAAAAAAAAAATAAATAAAATAACTTTTGTTCTTTACTGGGAGGTGTAGCATTTTTATAACATGAAAAAAAATGAAATTTCACTGCCAACTTCTTTGTCATAAATTAGGCAAAGTTTAGCTTCATCTTTCTCTTCTATGCATTCACTTTGTTTTATCATTCTACAGACAATTATATATCATTCATTGAATCTTTATTTCTTTTATATCACCATATTTACACAAAGCAGCTCATTATAATGGATTCTATCGTTGATAATTATTTGAAGCCTTATTCATATCAGTCGTTTGAAGGTTATTCTTGATATTCTGGAAATGCTAAAAAAGCTTGATGTCAATGCAATGTTTCATTAATTTGGATTCCAGGTGTGTAGTCTCAATTAATTTTAGATTTATTCGTTTTTTTAAATGATTTTTATGAACACGTTTTATGTTCTCCTACAGCTGCTTTATGAATTGTCTTTGGATCCCCTCGCATTAATTTGGATTTCAGGTGTGTAGTCTCAATTATTATCTTTTTTGCCGTATATAATATCCATTGTTTTAATTTGGATGTGATTCATAAATTCACATGTAAATCACATGTGATTCATATGTAAATCATACGTGATTCACATGAAAATCATATATGAATAATATGTGATTCACATGTAAATCACATTTGATTCACATGTAATTCACATGTGATTCACATGTACATCACATATGATTCACAGACGATTTACATATGATGTCATATGTAAATGTGATTCATATGTGAATCGCATGTGATTCATATGTGAATCACATGTGATTCATATGTTAATCACATGAAAATCACATATGTATTTTTGTGAGTGTTTTTGCATTAATCAATTTTTTTTTTATTTTTTTGTAGATTTGAAAGAAATTGTGGTGAATATTGAAGAGGTGAAAAATGATAAATTGAAGAAAATAAGGAAATATTGACACGAAGGCATAAAATACGTGTATTATTACGTTTATAGATTAATTAATAAAAATGAGATTTTTTATGATTTACATACGAATATTATAGTATTTTTATTGATTTTTAAAAATTTACTTTTTAAAACAAATGCAGTTTTTAAAAAAATTGTTGTTTTTTTTTGAAAAAAAATGCAGTTTTCTTTAAAAAAAATTGCAGTTTTTTTATTTAAAAATGCAGTTTTTTAAAATAATTGCACTTTTTTTTTTGAAAAAAATGCAGTTTTGTAAAAAAAAGATTTTCTTCAATTTTTTTTAAAATTCATGTTTTCTGAAAAAAAAAAATCTCCATTTTTTTTTAAAAAAAAATCTCCATTTTTTTTTAAAAAAAAATCTAAAATTATATTTAAAAAAGAAAATCCGAAATTTGATTTATTATGTTAATTTTTAGAATTTTTTATTAATATTTCTAATAGAAAAAAAATTAAACATTAAATGAGATCGGTAAGATGACGATCATGCCATTTATGAGTTAATTTTGATCTAATGATCCACCTTTAGTTCTCAGGTTCTCGGGAAACTATGAGTTCTCAACGGATCTCACCTATATATATATATATATATATATATATATATATATATATATATATATATATATATAAGTTTTAATCGGAAGTAGAGATTTTTGTCTCTAACGATAGCAATTGTTCGCAATTATATTTTTTACCCTTAAACAACAGTTTTTATCCCTAAGTAATTTTGAAGTTAAGCTATTGGTATTTTATAAGTTACGATTTAGGTCCTTTATTATACTTTAAAACTACGTTTTTAACCCTTTATATATCTATAGTCTTCTTATTTATTAATTTATTTGAGATACACCTTCAAGCCTTATTTTCGTCCGCCTCCTTGGTATATATTTTTTGACATCGAAACTTTATTTTGATACTTTTATAGTCCACTTAATATGATATTTTTTAGTTTTTATTAATAAACTTTCCGACCTTATTTTTTTTTCCCGCCTCTTCCATAGATAATTGTTTTGATCGAAATTTTATTTTTATACTTTTGTTGTCGCCTTTGTAAAGGTGTTCACCACCACAACACGCGGGGGTAATTAAATACTTGTTATTTAAAAATTTAAAACATATTGCTAATGAAATTTGCTCTCGATAATACAATAATTACAATAACAAGTTGACAAAACTGCAAAAATGGTCCATGTGGTATGCATTTTTTCTGAGATTTAGTCCAAACCTTGACTTTTTTGGCTTCGTGGTCATTTTGAGCTAGTTTCGTTGTGGTTCTGGTCCCTCGATAAACTAAAATAACTGTAATACCCTTGATGTATTTATTTTTATTTTTCTTTCATTTTTCTTAATTTAATATTTATTTATCTATTTTAAAAATTAAAAAAATAAGAAAGGGCCCTCTCTCTTTCTTTCTCTCTCTCTCTCTCTCTCTCCCTCTCTCTCCAAGCACCATCATCAGTTTGTGTTCTTCATATTCTTTCCCCTTTCACTAAAAATCGTATCCATCATCATAATCTATTTATGTAGATTTTCGGCCATAGATGAATTTTATGTCCAGTCAACCACGTCTTTCTTACACATACAAACACCAAGAACATATACACAAACCAAACCAATGTATCATTTACGAAATTAAAAGGTGTTTTTGAGAGAAAGAAAGAAATCCAGATATGATGAGAATACACACTTCCATATCTACCCAATAACACCTTGACCTAAACATTCACACATACAAACACCCACACATGGTTGGCTTTTCAGATTTTAAATTCACACACATACACACACACACACCGTCTAAATAACCCTAACCCTAGTGCAGATCTAGAAAAATCTTCCGAGTATAAAACCCTCGAACCAGGTGGGGTTTGCAGATGGACCACCTCATACACGACATCGTTCATTACAACCCCACTGACCTTGGTTCGTCCCCAACTAAATCGAAGCCACCGCCGCTGGAATTACGGTTTGCAGATGGAACTTAACAGACAATTCTGACTCTATTGTGTGTGAATCGAAGGCCACTCGTCTGATGGGTACCCGAAGACGAGATCGTTGTGTGTGTGTGTGTATCTATCATTAAGAGGTTGAGCAAAGGGGATACCGACGATGGGTTGGGGGAAGATTCTTGAAGATGAACTTTGAATCTAGGGCTTCACTGGAAAAATCAGAGAGAACAAATGGAGATGTTAAAGATGGGGGCTCTTGTCGTTGGTTCATTGGATGCCAGAAATGCTAGGGCTGACAGTGATAAGGAGGTCGTCAGACTTGTTCTGTTCGGAACAACAACGAGAGAGAAAGAGTGGTGATGAATGATGATGTTGTATTAGATGAAGCTCTTTCCCCAACCCATATTTCCTTTTTGAAATGAAAAAAAATAATCAATTTATGGGTTTCATTTTTTTAGGTTTAAGGTAGGGATGAGCAATTTGTCCCAAATTCTGATCCCGTATCGGTACCGTACCGGTACTGATACCGAACCGTACCGAATTTAAAAATATCAGACGGTACTTGGTACTTCAAATACATGAAATTCAGGATTCGGTACTGTCGGTACCGGTACTAGTACCAAAAATCGGTACCATTTCTGATACCGGTACCGGTGATGTTAATTCGGTTCGGTATTCGGGATTGACTTTCGATCAAATTCGGTTTTTGAAAAATCGGGAACGGTACGGGTCGGTACCGGTTCCGTCCCACGCTCATCCCTAGTTTAAGGAGAACAAGAACACAAATCTCCAACCATTAAGCAATGTCTTTTTTCTCTAAAATCGGACCTTGATCAATATGTGTGTGTTTTTTATTATTTAAACATGCGTGTGGGTGTTCATTAGTAGGAAGAATATGATGATGAAGATGACAACATTTTTGTTTTGATATATATATATATATATATATATATATATATATATATATATATATAGAGAGAGAGAGAGAGAGAGAGAGAGAGAGAGAGAGAGAGAGAGAGAGAGATATGCCCTCTCATTTTTTAATTATTAAAATGAATAAATAATTATTAACCTTTAAAAAAATAAATTTAAAAATAGAAATAAATACCCAAGGGCATCAAAGTCATTTCAGTTTACCGAAGGATCAAATTCGCAATAAAACTATTTAAAAGAACCATAAATAATAAAATAAAAAAAATCAAGTTTACCTTATAAAAAATGTATATCAAGTTAACATTTTTGCAATTTCGTCCAACAAAACGAATGTTTGTCTTTTTCAAAACTCATATACGAGATTTGTGTATTCTATAAAAAATTGTCCATGACACAGAGCCCGAAGAGCACTTCGACAAACACCAGATACTTGAATCTCAGACAACCCCAACACCACCAACACTGCCGGCGAACGCAATTCTATTCAACGAGCCGCCGCCGCCCGCCCTCTACCTGACAACACCATGGTGAATGTTTTTCCGGCAGACAACGAATGCGGTAATGGTGTTGATGGCTCGAATCCCCATGCGTCTTCTTCACCGACTGTTAGCGATGAAAAATCGCCGTCTCCGGCAGTTTCTGGTCATTGTTCCGGGAAGTCAGCGGCGGATATGAGGGAGGAAGACGATTTCTATCAGAAGCTCAACAAGATCAATGAACCCTCTGGTCTTAGCTTATTGTGAGTCATCTACTCCTAAACATGAACTTTTGTTTTTTCTGTTATTTACACCATTTCACTCTCTATTATAGGTTTAATCGGTTTTAATGCTCATATTAGTTCTAAAATGGTCACGATCCTGAAAAAAAAGGAGCTTATATTGTGCTTTTATACCATTTTTTATGTTTTGTAATTGTATATATAATGCTATTTGTTATTAGCCATTAATAATAAATAAACAAACAAATTGTTTCTCCTTGTTTTTTCTGTATTTTTTTACACTTAGGACAAAAAGAATATCAATGATGGATGTGGACAATGCGCAATTTTGCTTTCATCGACACTCTTCTCTTGGATTTTTCTCTAGTTGCAAACCAAACTCCATTGATGTCGAACTTGAAGCAGCTTTATCCATCTTGAATCTCTTGAGAATATCATTTACATCTTTGTTTTGTGAAATACATATTGCCTCTTTCGTATGTTTACCTTCAATTCCCAGGAAATAGTGAACTAGTGATTAATGAAGCAACCCCATATCCGTCATCTCAAATTCACACTTCATGGAAGTCTTGAAGCATTCTATAAGACTACAACTGTTGGTCTGTTTCTTGTGAATATTGGATCATCTACATGTAAGCATATAATTGAGATTTTAATCAGTGACCTAAACAAAAAAAGTTATTTCAACTTCAAGTTGCAACTACTTACTTCATTATTTCTTTATTGATAACTTTTATATGTCTATAACAGCAATGTACTTGTATAATCTTACCCTTAATAACTGCATACTTATATGTCACTACCAAGATACAATGCATCTCATTTATTACATATTGCTATTATTAGTAAGTAATGTTAAAGTTTACAGTTATCATGTGTAAGGAATTGTAAGAATGTTCCTATTATGTGTAAAGAAATGTAAGTATTATCGGTTAATTATTGTTATTATTGGTAAAAAAAATGTATGTAAGTTGTTATGGGTTAAGAAATATAAGTATGTTGATATTATGGGTAAAGAAAGTACATTGCCTATTTTGGTAGTGGTAAAAAAAGCAAAGTATCATTCCTACTTCGTTCAATTTTCCCAAAAAACTATAGATCAAGTCAAATTTGTATCTTATATACCCATTAGATGTCGCATTGGGTGCTACTTCAACTTTTTATTTTTTAGTAGCGATTCGTGTTCATTTGTACCATTTTCACCAATGTTATAACATTGGTTGCATATTCATATTTTGACACCATATAAATACAATCTATGAAAAGAAAATGTTAAATGATCAAAAGAAATAAATGTTGTTTTCTAACACGGTTTTAGATAGAAGCGAATCGGTTTTAGTCCATGAGTTCATATTAATCTAACATTTGAATATTTGATGACAGATTTAATTTTCGTAACACGAGCATTGACTTGCATGAGTTCTACAAAATTGTGATTGATAGAGGCGGGTATCATCACGTAAGTGACATTTTATGTAACGCGACTCTTTCAAATCGTAGGAATTTTTGTTAATATATTATATGATTCACGAAGTATGTTATGAAAAAGTGTAATAGCAACCAAAAGTGAAAAAAAAAAATTTCGTTTTTGAATCATATCGAGAAAAACCACTATAGCATGTAGAAAGAAGAAAAATGTAATTTACTAAAGAGTTAATCACTATATTGTGGATCTCTTATAAGTTATATCATCTCTTTATAGGTCATGAAAGAAGGAAAATGGGTAGAAGTTGCATATTTTGCAACTCGAAAAGAAAAAAGCCGATTGACACCAACTCAACTTCAGAATCTATATGCAGCAATTCTTTACCCCTTTGAGCAAACTTATTTTTACCGCAGTCCAGTAAAACTCAACAAAAAGCCAAATATAATCATGCCCACCACGCAAGGTATAAATTTCTAAATTCTAATTTATATGTTTTGTTCTTATAGTGTAATTTAATTATAACAGTAACAATAAAATAATGTTTTTCAAACAGTGTGTACGTTTGAAGAAAAGAAACCCACTAGAGTTGAAGAAAAGAAACCCACTAGGGTAAAAAAAATAAGGAAAGACCCACGGGCCCCACTTGGGTCAAGAAACTGTTATCAGATGTTTCTTAAAATGGAATGTGATAGGCTAAAGAGTATACATGGAGGTACCCCATCTGCAAAGCTCCGAGATAGTATTGTTGAAGCATGGATGAACCTCTCTAATGAGGACAAACTGGTATCCTATCTTCAATTATAAATTTTGACACACAGAGTTCTGGACCAAAAAAGAAAAAAAAAAAAAAATGGGCCAAGTTCCAGTATCGGGCATTTGGGCTAATGGGTCAAACTAAAGTTTCTGGATCCAACTTTTTCCCATGATCACATTTATTAAAGTTCTCATGAAAAAACGTAAATACTAAATGACAATGCAATCTATTCAGATTGTATATCACATACGTGATTCAACCAAGTTAGTACTTTACGTTTTGTAGACCGATTTGTTATCAAAAAGGAAAAAAAAAATGTTTTTTTTTGACAGAATCCAAAATGATCACATAAGCACATATACAAAAAATGTAGTCTACTCAAATTTTAGTTTAATCGTTACCAGCATGGATATTCACTTTATATATAAACATCATACTTGAAGGTTTTAGATTTTTTTTATGTGTTTTGTTGTTTTTACCCTTTTTCTATATACTTTAAAGCCATATATCGAGGCAAGTAAGAAGGACAAGGAGCGGTATACAAAAGAGATGGAGGCATATGAGGAACAAATGAAGAAAGAAATGGTGGTATACGATGAACACAAAAGAAACCAAGAATGATGGGATTGCACAAGGGTCGAATGAATCAATAGTTCAAAAGGATTTTGGGTTGATAACGAATGCACAACCAAATGATCTTGCTTTTTGAATCGACATTAATGATTAGTTAGGAGGATTGTATGACCTTGGTTCAACTTCTATGAATATTCTAACTTTGTTCGATATGCATGTATGTGTACTTTTGGAGATATTTCGGTGTTGTAAATATCTTGATGCTCAATCTACTTTATATTGTATGTAATTGTTATGTGTTATGGAGGTGTTTTTTTAATTACCAAATGAGCTTAATGGGTTCAATGCTTAATCTAGACAACAACAATGTTTAACAGCTTAAGCAAAAAAAAAAAAAAAAAAACTTAGACTTAATGTATTCAGACACTAGCCTAATACCTATTTATCCTTAATTCTTTTTCGTCTCAAACTCTACTCATTTTACAATGACAAAATTGGTTTCTCTGGTTTGCAAAATAATATGGATAGAATCCAAGAAGTTGTAAAATTGGTTTATGTGGTTTGCAAAATACTATGGATAGAATTCAAGAAGTTTTCAACTTGCATTAAAGGTCCAAAATAAGAAATTTATGTGTTTTTGGTTCTCTAACACTTGAAATGACTATTTTTCTTTTTAATTTCATTTTTATATTTTTTTATATTTCATTTCATACTTTATTAGTTATTAATAAAAATAAAAAAATTTGGTCAACCCCGACCCCTTCAGTAACATCTCTCTCTCTCTCTCTCTCTCTATATATATATATATATATATATATATATATATATATATATATATATATATATATATATTAAAGATGACCATCTTTTGCAATAGTGAACTTAGGTCCGTTTTGGCAGAAATGGTCCTCTGTCTATATATATGTTTAAATTCGTCTTTAGGGTTATTTTCTGTCAATATCCATATTTTTTCTGGACACGAGTTGCTTCTGCCTTTGCTATTCCTTCTTTACCTTATCTCCATCAGTCTCCAGTAGGGGTGTGCAAAAAAACCGCAAAACCGAAAAACCGAGCCGAACCGGCCGATCCAAAACCGAAAAAAACCGAAACCAAAAGAAACCGAAACTTAAAAAAACCGAAACCAAAAAAACCGGATATCGACGGGTCGTTTTTGGTTTGGATACTTAGGTATCCGCGGATAACCGAACCGAACCGTTTGATATATATATATATATATATATATATATATATATATATATATATATATATATATATATATATGTATATTATTCATTTCCATTGAACTTTTTAGCAATATCCCAAACAAAAATCATGATCGACAATTCCAATTTACACTTCTATATTATGTTTTTTTGTATTTTTATTTTTATATTTGTTATACCAATTATAATGTATGTTATTTGACCTTCATTATGTTTTTATAACTCTTTGGACTTAGTAATTTTTAGAAAGAAATCGTTGGAATGAAGTTTGTAATTTTGATTGTATTTGATTTTTTATATTTAGCGGGTACCCGTGAATCGAACCGTGGTTACCCACCATTATACGGTTCGGTTCGGTTCGATTTTTTAGCTAATTCGGTTCGGTTTCGGTTAGTGGACATGAAGTACCGGCCCAGTGGTGACGGTTCACAAATTTATTACTATCCGAACCGAACCGGCCCCTGGTCTCCGGAACCTTCCATACCGCCTCTCTGAAATATCGCAGACAGTCTCCATCGCTTACTTCTACTGCTTCTTTTCTCCATATGCATTACAGTCATATTCACCTTTCTTTTTCGATTTCAGGCACTAGCATATCGGACGACACCGCTTCCGCCGCAGCCTCCGTCGGTCAGTCTGCTTCTACTTGCCGGTTTTAGCCGCTTTCCCTTCTCCGATCGTTGACGTTTTACTCTCCTTCGGGTTAGTTCCATCTGTCTGTCTCTTTGTCGATGCTTTTATCTATCTACTTTTCACCATATCTTACTACTTCTTCACCATCACCGTCTATCGGCTTTGGTTCTCTGGTAGGTGGGCTTACAGTCGTCTTCCATCGCATTCTCTTTCAAACCGTTTTTTCCACAGATTAGGTTTCGATTTTGGTTTTAAGAAACATCTCAGGTACCGCTACCCCGTTTTCCCTCTTTAAATTTCGATTCATTTTTCGTGCTTCATATACTTCTGCCTCCTCAATCTCCCAATCAGTTGTTTACAGATTTCATTGCACCCACCAAACCTCACCGGCGATGCCCTCCAAACAACCTGCTCTGTCGCCTTCTTGCATAACCCAGTTCGAAACAGAGGAGATATTGAAGATGGGTTCCAATCAACCGCGTGCAACTGTTGTACTTCAACCGTATGTTCTTCTCGGGAAGCAAATCAATGTCGTGGATCGACAAATTCAGTCACTATCTATGTATGGCTAGAGGTTCGTTTTCCTTCTTCTACTTATTTGTTGTGTAAATCTTATGATTCACAATTTGTAGGACCAAGTATGATCAGAAAGTTCTTTTTTTTAACCTTGTATGTTTAGTTTTCTGGTATAGTAGGCTCAAAGAGTTATTTCCTTTTTAACCTTCTTTATTTTAGTTTCATGTTAAAGTATGTGTTTTATATCTACATCCAGTTCTCTGATTCTTCAAATCACAGTTGTTGATTTTCAATAACTACATGTTTATATGCTTATCCGTTTCAGGGGCTCGTGGGGCTCCTGTACACCATCAGACCATGAACACACAAGGGCGAACAGTTATGTATGCTAGGGGTGGTAGGAAAAGGAAGGTACTTGATGTGGACCTCAATGACGCTCCACCAAATGGAGACCATGAGCAAGTGGAAGGTCCACTTCTTTCTTTGACTCATGCTGGACAACTACAAGCTGTTGACCATAACCAGCTGCCAGTTGTTGCATTGACTTCAGGATCTTCACCACCTGTTTTAATCGATGTTGAGGAGCTGGATGATGATGTTATCATTTCATCACCAAGAGCTTTTGAACAAGTACATTCTGTGTTATACACTAAAAAATATTACCTTTTTATACAATATTCAGATTATTAACCTTCATTCGTCTTCTTTCAGGCTAGAAACGGTTCTCGAATAATTGCAAGAACTTCAGTGATTGATGTGGAATCATGGAATCAGGTAAACAAACACTAGTGTGAGTAATCAAATTAGGGTTATATTTGCGCATGTGTGCAGTATGTTTTTTCTTATGTAATATGTAATATGTAAAATACTCCTTCATAAGGATCTACCTTCCTTCCACCAATTGTAACCTTGAACCGGCATAAGCATGATGTCTATGGATTGATACTAATTTTTAAATTTTTTTTTATCAACAAAAGGCTATTACTTGACTTTTTTTTTTTTTATAAAAATGTTTAATGCAGGAACATCGGAAAAAATGCTATTTCTATTGACGAAATGGTAGTTATAGATATTATAACCAAGTTAGTCTCTTTCTATTTCCCTACATACTTTTATTTTTTATAAAAAAAATAATGGTTTTATCAGTTTTTGTTAAAAATGCCCCTGCATACTCTTTTTTGGGTTAAAAACTTCATGATTTCATAGTTTTTGACCAAACTGCCATTGCATACAGCTTCTTTGGTAAAAGTTACTGACTTGAAGAGTTTTTAACGAAAATTTCCCGTGTATACAGTTTAACTATAGTACCTGAATTTGAAAATTTTAAACAAATTTAATAGAATTATATTAGAATAACCTTAATAAAATATTAGATGTTAGTTTTAGGTAAAGTATGACAAGTTTTGGTTGACTTTCAATTCATACATATCTAACAGTGGCTCACTTTCAATTCCTTTTTAGATAAACTTAAACTATATATATATATATATATATATATATATATATATGGGCTAATGTCATAAAAACCCTCAAGTTTTCAAGGTTTTGTCGGTTTTGCCCAAAGTTGAATTTTATGTCCGTTTGTGATAGGAAACAAATAAAAAGAACCCATAACAAGTAATTTGAGAGTATGTGCTCTATGTGTAAGTTTAATACTTTAGTCAAGTAATTTGATATATATTGTAACTGTATTTCTTAATTTCATGTTCGGCAAAACAGTAAATCATATAATTATGTCATTTTCACTAAGAATTTTTAGTAACTTTAATTGTAATTTCTACCAACAATCATAGAATGCTAATTCTATTTATAAAACTAAATAAACGAACTTCTTTCTTTCTCATTTTATTTATGTAGAATGATTATATATATATATATATATATATATGGTGTGGTGCGGTGCGGTTTGAACTGCGGTTTCACAGTTAAAAACCACAAACCGCACCGCGGAAGTTCTAAACCATGTTATGCGGTGCGGTTTGGTGCGGTGCGGGCGGTTTATGCGGATTGGGCGGTTTGGTGCACATATATACATATATTTTTAGAAGTGTAAATATGTATTTTGATATATGTTTTTTTTTTAAGTATAAATATATTTTTAGAAGTATAGATACATATTAATATATAAAAATTTAAAATATTGTATTTATACTTCTAAAAAACTATAATAAAACACGTATTCATAATTCTAAAAATATTATTTATCTTTTAAATGGTATAACCTTGCAAACACACCACAACAAACAAACATATATATAGATATATATATTATCGATATATATCTATATACCATTAAAAAAATATAAATACAATATTTAATTAATCATTTTTTTGTATATAAATACGATTTTTCTGCATGAATACGTATATTATGAAAAAAAATACTTAGGGTAAAAATGCAAAAAAAGGGTAAACTTAAGGGTTTTTTTGCGAATTTAATATAATGGTAACCTGAAAAACCTGTTATCACCGGTAAAAAGGTAAAACCGAACATTTTTTTGAAAATGTTTGGGTAAAAACGGACATAAAATTCAACTTTGGGTAAAACGGACAAAACCCTGAAAACTTGAGGGTTTTTATGACATTAGCCCATATATATATATATATATATATATATATATATCTTGCAACAATGATCACTTGAACATTACTCAAAAGTTTCAATTTCAATTTTTTATATTTAGTTTTTCTTTTTTCAAATTTAGGTGGCAACATCAGTACATAGCAGCAAATTTTCTATTTGAACTTTTTATTTTTGTTTTTTGCAATTTCTTTTCATTTCCTTTTCCAAAAACCAAAATACATTGCCATTTGGTCAATTTTCCATTTTTAGTTGACACCTACACTAAATAGCAACGTATTTTGAATTTACACATTTATTTGGTTTATGCAAATTGTTTTCATTTTTTTAACCAAAAAGAAAAATATATTGCTATCTGTTACAAATTTAACCACTATTATCAACTAATCTATATGTTTTTTAATAGTTAATTAAATAGAACTTTATTTTTTTCTTTTTTTTGTTTGGTAATTCAGTGAAATATACTGTTTGCAGTTACCTTCCGCTATTACAACAGATTTCACCACATGGGCAACAACAGTAGCGGGTGGCACCACCAGACTCGCAGCAGCAGATGCACCTCATCAGTGTAATATGATGATCATCCCTTTTACCTTCAATAGTGTGTTATGTTTTGTTAGATTAAATTTATACCAAAGAATCATAGGGGTGTTTTAGGTTTTCTCTGCTCTTGATCTGTTGAAATATGATGTTTGCAGTTTTGTTCCATTATTGTGGCAGATTCCACCACAGGAACAACAACAACCGCAGGCAGCACACAAAGTTTTGATCCACTTGACCCTTTTCTTTTTCAGTTGAATATTTTGATTTTAGCCATTTGACTCGTTCATAAGTAAATGAGCTGTGAAAAGCTGTTTGATTGTTTGAATGTCTCTTTTTCATCAGTAATGATCGAAATACCAATTTACCTTTTGTTTGGATGTATATTTGGTTACCACTTCTGTTTTAGTTGGTATTTATTCTCTCTTTCTATGCGTATGTGTATTTATTAATGAATGTTGTGTAATTTAACTTATTTTCCTTGCTCTGTTTGTTTGTAATATCAGATGAGTAAGTAGATTTTACTGACCCATGCGAAATGAATGATTGTTGCACTTAAATAATTAACCTTGATTTTGCTGTGTGGTCAGGTTTTTTCTATGTATTATCCTAAAAAGTATTATGTAAAGTCTATATATTCACTCAAAATTATTATGTAATCCTTTCTATCAATAACAAGCATGAAGTGACCAAAATGATCGGATCTGTCCAATTCCATACCCCGCAACGCGAGGTTCCCCATCTAGTTATAATTAATATTGACACTTACTTTGTAAGATTGATATGCCCTTACGGTCAAAAGATTGCTATACCAAGATTAAAAAAATTATTTATATTAATCAGTCATATATTTATTTATTTTTATCTACTTGTTTTGTTTACTTTTATAGTATTTTTAATTTCGTCTTTGTCGATACATATAAAATCAATAAAAACAATGTAACACAATACGATATGCATTGTTAAAATGAATTTAAACAAAGTAAAATATTCAAAGTTGTCATATTAAATTAGTTACAACTCATATAATATGACATATACGACAAAACAAACAAAAATTATGTTTAGATTCATTTACTTATTAAATAAATAAAAATTAACAATCTTTTTATGGAAAAGCTTAATCATTTAGAACACTTAGATACGCGTTCAGTTTGTTTACCTGTGCTTTTTAATTAATAACTTTATATTTAAAAATAAAAGTGGTAAATGATATACTCCCTCTGTCCAAAAATTATAGTCTACAGACAAAAAACACACAGATTAAGAAAACATTAATTACCACTAACTTTATTTAATAAAATGACAATTTTATCATTACTTTGCATTTAATGTTGTATTCAATGCTTAATTGGTTAAGTAATAATGATGGAGTATTTTGGTAAAATTGTTATTTATTTTTAGAAATGAACTATTATTTGGGAAAAACCAAAAAGGAAAGATGAACTATAATTTTGGAACGAAGATAGTATTAGTTAAAACATAATTAAATAATACAAAGTATTTTATAATAATAGAATACTAAATAAATTAAAATCATTGGAAGTATACAATTACTAAGTTTACAATAAAAAAAAACTTAAACTATTAATGCAAATGTTTAATTGAAAGAATTTTAAAATACAAAGATTTAAACTAAAAGTTTGATATATTTTAAGGGTTTATCTCTAAATAATTAATTAAAACTTTTTGGAGAGATTATTTTTTTAAGACAAAAAATAAAAGATATTTGGTAAAGTAGATGTGACAATATGGCACTTAAATTATATAATTATTTTATTTTTCTTTTACTCAGTGTTGAGAATATCAATAAAATGAAACAAACATCACTTTAGAGAAATAACACTACTCTAATACTTATTGCCCTTTTCATATTTTTTTCCATCCAAGGCATTCACAATATCCGTTATAACAAAATTCAATTAACTCGGGTGGACAAAAACCAAGATAATCCCCTCTCCATATACATGGACGTTTGACATTTGAGTCTTGAAGTTTTGCTCCGCCATTAGTAACTTCCATTTCAGCCAATACTACAATTAGTAAAAACAACATTATAATATTAAATACAATTTCCAAATTTTCAAATCATACGTGGAATGAAATATGACACAATTATGAATCAAAGACAAAGATAGAGGATAACCGCAAACACTCAACATCAATATGGCCAAAAAAGAAAATTTTCTAAATTAAAGCCTAATTAGTTTATTTGTCTATTTATCTAAATTAGTAAATTGTTTGTTTAAATTTAAAAAAGAAAAAGCATTTTAATTTTAATAATTCAATATTTTTCTTATTTTTCTTATAAATTCAAATTTCATAAATGTTTAGAATTTCATTTTTTTTTAAATAAACCCATGTAATACATGGGTCTTAAACCTAGTGTAAATATATAATAATATATATATATATATATATATATATATATATATATATAGAGAGAGAGAGAGAGAGAGAGAGCTAGATTCAAATGTTTCTAGCAAATATTGTGTTCCTAAATGCACCAATCACAATTTAGCAAATAATTAAATAATTTATTAAATGAATAAGGGTATTTTTGGGTTTTTGACACATTCAATTAATGAGATCATTAATTAAAATCCCTTTAATTAAGGAAACAAAATAATTAGGTTTGACCTAATCTCTCTCTTTTATCTCACGTATTCTTCACCTACAAAAGAAGAATAAATCGGCTTCACAGTTTCACTTCGTCTTCTCCACTGTCGCTGCTTCAAACAACCAGCCACCACCGCCAACCACCACCTTCATCGGTTGTAAGTACCTCCTTAACATTTTTTGATGATCTTTTTTACCATTGTCAATCAAAACCGAAGCCACAGAACCATTTATGTTTTTTTTTCCGATCGTATGGAAACCGAACACATGAGGTATACCCTCCTTTGTAACTCATTTACTTTGCAAATCTTATTAGTTAAAATGAACCCTCGTCTATGAAATTTTAATCCAATTGCTTTTTTATTTTGATTTTGGAACACAATCATCAGTTTTTTAACCAACAAATAAGTATATATGTTTATGCATTCTATGTATCCTGCTATATCAATTTCATAGTTTTTTTTTCTATTTAGATTGTTAGGTTTTTTTTAATGCATCTTAATGTTGATCATTCTGCAAGAATGGAATATCAAATTCTAATTTTGTTAGAATAGAATCTTGAATTCCTTGTCACCTTAAGCAATGAATTACCGTAACCAATTCTGTCAGAATAAAATTGGTTTCTATTCTTGTTATTGGTCTTGATTCTTATAGAATGACATCCTAAATAATGAAACATTACATTCTTTCAAAATAATATACATTGCAAGTTTAGGGATGATTATTAATATTGGTTTGTAGAAATTATAGTTATATTCTATTTGAATGTATATCACATTCTACTAGAATTTATTGTTTTATTCTATTTAATGCACTAAAAATTTTAATATTTGAAAGTTGATTATGTTTTCCTTGTGAATTTAGGTTTTGAAGAGGTTGCCATTAATGTGGAAAGTGAAGAAAACATGGAGAACGATATTATATTCTAACAGAATGTATTCTGTCAGAATTTATAAATTGTTTTTTAACAATAATATTATTTCGGAATAGAGTAGTGTTTTTGTTAGATTTTGATATTTTTTTTTCTTTTTTAACTATTTTTAGTTTTAATCTTTTAGAATAAATGTAATCCTTAAACCATTGTTAGTCATAATTTTTTTTGAATGATTGTAATAATTGTTTATAGTCTTTTTCTTTACTGATGAATGTAAATAGTGATTCTTAAAGAATAAAATCCGTATTCTTTAGAAATTGTTGTTCTTGATAATATGTTGTATCATTCTTTAAGCATGTTTAATATAAAAAATATCTTGAATGAAATAATATTCTGCAAGAATAAAACCACAAATATATTTACTAGTTAATTATATATAGTGGATTTAAAATAATATATATGTGTTGTGTGTGCAAAATAATAAAAGAAAATGTGTAAAAAAAATGCAACAAACCAATTTATTTTTCGGTTAAAAAACCGAAACCACACCGAAAGAATCGCAAAACCGCAAGAAAAACCGCACCGAAACAAAACCGCAAAGTTCGGTTTTCATTATGAATAACCGCAACTTGCGGTTTGCGGTTCGGTTAGGTCCAAAAACCGCACCGAACCGCAACATACTCACCCCTAAGCGTTAGATCAAAATTAACTCATTAAGGGCATGATCATCATCTTACCAATCTCATTTAATGTTTAATTTTTTTATGTTATTGGAAATATTAATAAAAAGATCTAAAAATTAACATAATAAATCAAAATTTCTGTTACTATTATTATTATTATTATTATTATTATTATTATTATTATTATTATTATTATTATTTGTAAAAATACTCCATTTGTCCCATAATTATTGTCCACTTTTGATTTTTGAAGTCTTTGTTCATCAACTTTAACCTTAAATATTTTTATTTGTGTTGTGTATTATTTCATGAAATTTATAATAATGAAAAGACATTTGAAACACAATTCATTCATATATTTTTAATCAAATACTATATATCAAAAACAAAAATATTTAAAGGTCAAAGTTGAAAAATAAAGACTTCAAAAGTCAAAAGTGGACAATAAATATGGGACGGATGTAGTAATAATTTTCGTTTTTTTAAATGCATATTTTTTAATTTTTTTAGAAAACATAAACTTTTTTAAAAAATGAAAAAAAAATATATTTAAAAAAAAACTACAAGTTTTTTAAAACAGTAAATTAAAAAAATAAAAAAAACTAGAAAATTAAAAAAAAAAACTATAACTTTTTTAATAAAAAAAATCAACGCTTTAGGTGCATATATGCATATTTTTTCAAGTACATATATGCATATTTCTTATACTATAAATATTCATAAGTAAATTATAAAAAAAACTTGTTTTTATTTACTAATATATAAACACAATTGTACAAGTGTTTTATTCGATAAAAAGTAAAATATAAAGAAAGAAAAATGCTACAAAATTTCAAAGCATTTTCATGTCTTCGTGTCAAGATTTTTATATTTTCTTCAATTTATCACTTTTCACCTCTTCAATATTTTCCACAAGTTCTTCCAAACCTACAAAAATTAAAAAAAAATTGATTAATGCTAGAACTCACACAAAAATGCATATGTATATATCATGTAAGATTCAAATGTGAAATTCACAAGAAAGTTTAAAAAAAAATAATTAACAAAGAACACTCACACAAAATGCATGTGTGCATATAGACATAATCCATACGTGCTTCACTTGTGATTTACATGTGATTCATATGTGATTTACATGTGAATCACACGTAATTCATATGTGATTCACTTGTGATTTACAT